TATATGCAACCATTTGGTTTCAAGGTCCTGAAACAATGCATTTTCTGATACTTGTTTCTAAGTGTATTTGGAAAGCTTATTTTCACTTCCTCAGCCAAAGAATGGCACTGCTGCTGCTGATCCCAACTCGCACTCTGAGACCTCACATTTTCTTTTACAACCCAATATTTGTGCCAGATCTGTACCTCTGTTCAGGAGTTATTGTGCCAGAGTTCAGTTTTCATAGCTGCAGATTTACTGGCAGAGTGTAAAGATCTTGCATGGTTCCAAAATTCTTTTTTGATGTGCAAGTTTCTTCATGCCTTAGGGAAGCACAGAAGAAAGCAAGGGAGTACTTGATACAGTAGAAAATGTGTGCTGGAGGCTGATACTATAGGAGGAGCTGGCATCTTAATAGTGAATCAGAAATGCTAAGAGAGAAGGATGTCATGTCAGCAAAGAATGGGAGGATGAGAAGTTTGAAGTAAAACAGCAAAGACAATTGCATGCAAAAAAAGAAAAAAATCTTTCTGTTAGCACTTTGAATGGAGCAGAAAAGTGCAAGACTGCCTTTGTGAGAAGCACACTCAAGGCCTATGGGGAAAAGTTTGGGTGAGGTGATGAAAGAGAAAAGCTGTGTCTTTGATATGTTACATAGAAAAAACTCAACAAGGTGTGATTCAGAGCATGGATATGAGGATATAGGGGCATTTCAGAGCAGAAGATCATGAATGGGCTATGAGCCTGAATTAAGAGAAAACTATATGCTCTACCTTGATCAAGTAAGGAAGTAGGAGAATAGGATTAGGGAAGTGTTAATCATCCTATAGCCACACTGAGGACAAACAAAGGCTAGCCTTCATCATGCAGGTATAAGGGTAAGTGGTGTTTAGAACAAAATGGGGTCTGAATTGAAGAGGTAGATTTGTGGAAAGACTATATAGAAATAACAGTAAAATATATATTTATGCACGTTCAACAGCACAGGGAGTATGCGTATAAAGAAAGATAATAGCCCAAACACAACATCCTGCGGAAAAGCTTGGCTGGAGTTTTTTCCAAAGCAATGATGATTGGAGGGATGAGATGAGAAATGTGAAAACAGAATCACAGGAACCATTAGAGACAAAATTTCACGAAAAGTCTGCTCTCTGGAGTCCAGTCACAGTCAGTTTGGATGCTATTTTGAGCTCTGTCAGATTGGCCACAGAACTTCGGGATCAGAGGAAAGCCTGAAAAATATTTGGGAAAAAGAAGCTTTGAAAATAATGACTGAAGACAGTGTGCCCAGATTGTGAGGCTTAACAGGACCTTTCTGACCATTTCAAGAGCAAGGAAAGAATATGAGAACATTGTCTGAGCCATCTGTACTGTCAAAGGAAAATCAGACTTATATTTTCTACCTTTAGGAAATGTGAACTATCCTATTAAGTCTCCAGAAATGTTGGCTTGAGGAAATTAAGTGACCTCAGTGCTGATGAGCAAGCATTTTTGTACTTCAAACTCCTGGTTACACAAGTAGTCAAAGATAACAAAGTGAATACTGGAAATTCCTGGTTCTTATGAAGACTTTTAAGTTTCAGCACAAGGCATTTATGAGAAAGTTCTGGGCATTTATGAAAAAACACAAATAGATGCAGAACCTATATATTGTATCACAAGCTTATGAAAACAACTAATTCAATATCATTCTATATTTAATGTTGTTCAGCTACAGACCAATGCTACTGCAGTGTGGAAAATCCCTGGCAGGTTTACAGGGATATGCATATTACCCAGTATGACAGAAACAAAGGATGAAAAACGACTTCTAGACTTTGGTGAGAGCAAGAAAGTAAAAGTATGCACAAAATTGAAGAAAAACTTCATCATAGTTTAGACACAGTTTAGACACAGATGCTTTAGAATTTGGAAAGGTCATCATAAACTCCGAAGCCTACAGAAATGTCATTTCCTCGCCATGAGCTAAACATGAAGAAACATTTTATAAAGAAATTGGAAGCTTCTGCTCAGTCTTTTAAAGACTACAAAGCAAAAGAAAAACTAGTAGCTGGCAGAGAAGATTGAAGTAAAGGCCAAAATGCTGGACAACAAAGGTCTTCATGGACTGATCTATTTTTTTCAGACTATAATAAGCAATTTAACAACTGAAGAGGGGAACATATGTGAAGATATATGGCTTCACCAGATCAAAGCTAGAAGACAGATGAAATGGCCAAAAGGCCAATTGAAACCTGTTGATCAACCACACTCATCCTGTATAACAACAAAAAAATGTTATCTTTAGATGCTGTGATAGTTGGAGTGCATCATTGTAGCTTTTACTGATCTTTTCATTTATGCTCTTTCTCTTGTATCTCTGTCTCTTCAATTTTTATTACCTCATAGCAGAATTTCACACTTTCTTCCCATTTTTGACTAGCATAAGATTAGTGACCAGAGTTCACCTGTCTGCTGCACGGATTTGTTATAGGTTCAGACAGTAAAAAACAGCAGAGAAAGCAAGAACATGAACTGATGGAAAAGTTTAGCTGGGTAAACATACTGGAAAGGCCATTCTCTATGGCACACTCTGCAAAAACTCTGCAGCAAGGTGTGGGTCAGAGCTTGGATGTGAGGACATAGGGAACTGACTTGAGAAGAAGAACTAGTCTCATGCAGAAGATGGCCTCCTTCACATTAATCAGTTAATTTCAGGTAATCTGAATGACAAGGTTTATCGATCTGGATATTTCTGACCCACGCTTATGCCACTACATCTGACCATTGCAGTTTTTCAATTAGCTGAGCTGCTTTCCTTGCCTGGAGTTGTCCCACCTCCTGTGGGATAATTTCCATGGTATACCAGACTGAGACCAGAAGCCGAGCATTATTGTTCATTAATGCAGCATGTCTTGCTTGACTTGGGATATTTTTTCATATGCCAACATAATTCCTCAACTTGGGATGCTGCTGCACACCAAAGTTTGAAGTCCTCTCCAGACCAGGTAACTGTACTTCTGCAGGCTGGGCCAGCCTCTCTGTCTCCTTGGCTGTGATTCAGCCCCTTTTGCTGAGCTCACTAAGCACAGCCCACTCAGCATAAACTGGAAATACTCAAGACTCCAGTGATCTTTGAAATCTAAAAACACCCTACTTTGAAAAGAGATGGAGTTGCACCTCATCTCCAAAAGTTATGGACTTGCTATTGCTCTTTTAGCTCCTCTGAATAAGGCCCTGCAGAGATCTTCTCCAGGCTTTTACCTCCCTATTGAGTTCTGCATGAAATCTTTCACAAGGAACTTGGATTTGTGCATGCATGCAGGCAGGGATGCATACCTGCACGGGGAAATAGGGTCATGTTTAGTATTTGTAGAAGATAACTCAGGTATATTTCCAATTTTGTTTCGGGAACTGAACGTTTTCCTTGCTAACTATATGGTTAAGTATTACAGTTGGTATTCCCATGTACAGAATCTTCATCTGATCCACAGATTATTACCTACAGAGGAGGTAATTTTATCATCTTTAAATGTTCTATTGTGGGTTTTGCAGGAAAAAAATATTTTGCATAGGAGCTGTCTGGCCAGTTTTGCAGAAAAGGACCTAAGAGTCCTGCTGGACACCAAGCTGAGCGTGAGCCAGGAATATGACCTCACTGCAAAGGCTAGTGGTTTTCTTGGCTGCTTGAGGCAGAGCACTGCCAGCAGGTCGAAGCAGGTGATCCCTCCCCTCTGTTCAGTGTTGGTGAGGCCACACCTGGAGTGCTGGATCCAGTTCTGGGTCCCCTGGTACAAAAGGGACATGGACATCCTCAAGAAGAGTCCAGAACAGAGCCACCAAGATGCTGAAGGGCCTGCAGCACCTCTCCTGTGGTAAGAGACTAAGAGAGGCTGTTCAGCCTGGAGGAGGCTCTGGAGTATCTCATCATCTACAAAGATCTGACAGGAGGATGCACAGAGGACAGATCCAGGTTCTTTTCAGTGTTGCTCCCTGCCAAGACACTGGGGCAATGTGCTCCTGCTGGGACACGGGAGGCTCCCTCTGAACGCCAGGAAGCACTTCTGTGCTGTGCAGATGATGGAGCACTGGCACAGGTTGCCCAGAGTGGCTGTGGGGTCTCCTCTTGGAGATCTCCAGAAGGCACCTGAAGGTGGGCCTGGGCACCTGTTGTGGGTGTCCCTGCTGGAGCACGGCGTGGGCCAGACTGTCCCACAGGGCTCTGCCAGCCCCAACCGTGTGACTGTAACTTTCTGCCCTCAGCAGAAACCTCAGCCCTCTCTCAGCACTCCTGCCCCACCATTCCCACTTGTCTGAAGCTTTCTAGTCTCTCGATGCGGCCCGGACAAAGGCGAACTCTGCCGCACACGCGCGGTGAGACACAAACACTCACACTCTGTGAGTCGCTATCCCAGAGACCATCAGAGACCCCCAAAAACCAACCGATCCCCGCACCCCACAGACAACCCCCCCAACACCAGACCCCGCCCGCCTCCTCTCCCTTCCCTTCGCTTCGCCTCCCCTCCCCTCCAGCCGAGGAGGCGGGCGGCGTTGGCCGGGACTTCCCGGAGTCCTCGCTTTCTTTATTGCGCTTGCGCCGCCTGCCGTCTTCGCGCAGGCGCAGGAGGGGCGTGGAGCGGGTCCGGAGTGCAATTGCGGCGACCGTACCGGCGCCGCTCGCCGTTCGCAGCGGGGCGGTGGGGATGAGCCTCTGCCCGGCCCGGTTCAGAAGGCGCGGGCAGAACGGCACCGCACGCCAGACCGGGCCCCTCGCAGCCCGCTCGCCGCCGCCAGCCCGGAGCGGGGTCGCCGCGGAGCTCGAGGAGCGGCGCTGAGCGGCGCTGAGCGGAACCGCCCGCTCGGGCCCTGTCGGGCGGCGGAGGAGCGGGAGCCGTCGGGGCGGCCAGGCCCTCGCTCCCCGCGCGGTAGTTGGTCGCGCTAGGGGGGCCGCGGCCCGGCGCCCGCGGGGAGGATGGTGAGGCCGGTGGCCGCCCCTGCGCCGGGCCGAGAGGCGACGGAGCCGAGGCGGGCCCGGGTCGGCCCCCGCCGGGGCTGAGGGGCTGCCGGGGCGCCCCGCAGCGCGGCCGTGAGCGGCAGGATGAGCGCTCCCGCCCTGCTGCCGCTGGCCGGGCGCAGGCTGCCCGCCCTCAACCTGGGCGCGTCGTCCTTCCCTCACCACAGGGCTACCCTGAGACTGTCGGAGAAATTCATCCTGCTCCTTATCCTGAGTGCCTTCATCACGCTGTGCTTCGGGGCGTTCTTCTTCCTGCCAGACTCCTCGAAGCACAAACGCTTTGACCTGGGGCTGGAGGACGTGCTCATCCCTCACGTGGACACCAGCAAGGGGGGCAAGCACCTGGGAGGCTTCCTGATCCACGGGCAGGGGCACGACGAGCACCGGCACAGGTGGGTGCCCGCGGGTTGCGGGGCTGGGCTGGGGGAGACCGCGGTACGGAGGGCTCCGGCTGTGGGCTTCTCATGTTCTTTACGCCTTCTCCTCTGAGAACGAAGTCCTCTTTTGTTTGGCGGATGGAAAAGTTAGGGCTGCTTATCGTGACTGGCGAGACTGTCGGGCTGTCAGCTGGAGACGTTTCGTCGATGTGGCTGTGAAAAGTAAGAGCCTTTCACATGTTTCCTGTGTCTTCTCAGCATGTAGTTTCTTAGTGCTATTCTGTCTGCCCTTATGTTCTCTGGATGAATGCAAACATATCTTTTTTTTTTCTTTTTTTTTTTTTTCCTCAAGGTGGTTTAAATTGTAGCCTGGCTAGTGAGGGCTGCAAGGATCTGAGCTCTTCTGCAGTGCCAGTGGTTATTTTCTCACTCTGGACCAGTAGTATCAGTCATGGGGGAAAATGTGTTTGTGTGTGGGGGAGTTACATTATGGTATTCGGAAAGGTAACTTATGTGACTTCAAAACTGCTTCATCTTTTCAATAAGTTTTACTTGCTTGCTCAACACATCAGCTTGTTGGTGGATAGTATAAATTGAAAAAAATCTGGTAAAGCCTCAGAGCTTCTGATTGAAATCTATCAACCTATGGTATGCAGGAGGATATTGAGATAGCGTAGAAGGCATAGCCATCTTTTTTGGCCCTTAAAATCCACTGTTATAATGTTATTCCAAGCAGTTGGAGATGTCTGCAGTTGAGTCTTCTTAATTGTGTTAGTATGAAGAAATCAGAAATAAAATAGTAGTTAACAGTACCAATGATCAACAGCATCCTGGTGGTAGCTTTTTGGGGCCACCTGAGGCTGCGTGCAGTGCAAATGTCTCAGTGTTCAAGACTGAGTTATGTGAAGCTGTCTTCAAAGCTGAGATTTCAAAACTTAAATGCGTGGTTTGCAGTATATTTGCTTCTAATACACTTTAATTGCTTAAATCACACCTTTGTGTAAGATCTCTCCTTATGCTAAGGGTGTGTAAAATATGGTAGCAATGGGTGATAGAGTATCTGCTTTTCAGTATTTCAATATAGTGGAATTTAAGGAAATGTTACTTATGCTGATAGTATTCTTTCGAGAATTATTTAAAATAAATCCAGTTGACATGATATTAGAATTTCTTGAAAGTTATTTTTGTAGATTAAAAGGGAGGGGTGTGATTGCCTCTTATTGAGAAAGGTCTACCTGAATGCTGTGATATTTTTCCTCATGCTACCTCTGCTGTTGGATGTCAGAGTTTATCATGAGCTCTTTCTTGCCGACTGAAAGGATATGGATGCTTAAAATTTAACAAGAACCTCTTTTGTATGTGATGTTAATTGTTGGTACGGTTAAATGTTGCACAAACCGTGGGCTTTAGTGGTCTCTAAATATACTGTTGAAGTTCTCATCTTTCACTGTTTTTTTTTCTAGTGATCTCATTTCTTAGTTTCCCCAGTCACGCTAGCACATACTGTCAAAATCAAATTTTAAAATAGAAGATGAAACAAAACGGTCAAAATTAGATTTTGAAATAGATGACAGATTAAATAAAAACGAATTCAGCAGCAGTTTTCCAAACTCCAGCTGTGGCTGTTGTATCTTATGTTGCCCAGTAGATGGGCCATAGAAAAAGGAGTTTGTTAATGCTGGCAGTTCTGAAGTGATGCTCCAGATTAACCTACTTATGTGGATTCTTTTCAGGGTAGCTTTTTAAGTGTGATTACTGACACTGTGAGAATATACAAGTTTTATTTCACAGATAGATAAACAAAATGTGCTTAGCTCTGGTAATAAGTTAAAAAACAGAGTCCAAATAAACATTAAAAGCAGTGGTTACTGTGTCATTGGTAGACTCCTCCTATAGTTCCTCTATAAGCTGTGAATATGTACTTTTCCCCACCCCCATCCAGAGTTGTCTCTGTCATGTGCAGGTTTTATGACTGCCTTTTGTGTTGCAATTGAGCAAAAATAGGTGCTATTCCTATTATTTAAGACCTGCAAGCCACTAGAAAACGTTAAGCATATCTTAACTGCTTAGAAATGCTTCCTACTTGCAGGACGCAGTGGGAACACTGCGTTTAGAGATTAGGTTATGTACTTTCCTTCTGGAGCAACTTCATTGGCTTGTTACCTGATAGTGTTATCAATAGATATTTGCTTGTGTGGGGTTGGCATGGTGACTGTTGTCCTGTAAAGCAACGCAATTGCCTGCTGACGTTTTCAGTGTTTACGTACTGCACCTGGATCCTAGGAATCTTGACAGTGTTCTTAGAAAGCAAAGGATCTTTTAGATAACTTAGTTCGGGATGAAGAACTTTGTTCAGCTTACCATCCAGGAGTAAAGCCAAACATCAACTTCTCTGTAGGTGTTACTTTTTGGATGGTACCAGGGAGTTGAAGCAAAAGATCAAGGTAAAATAACCTACTGGATTACTGCTCAATGTGTGCTCTGTAATGTAAAGCGTAATAATAAATTGATAACCTTTTTGCAAGAGCTGTGGGACTTGAGAAGGAACCGGATTAAGTGTCATTTATATGAGGTATGCACTTTATCATGAAGTGACAGGTGTGTTTGTTTAGTGGTTAAGGAAAGTTTATTTGGTGACAGTTGGTATTGATGCAACTGATATTTTTGGGTGTTGGAAGGACTGCAAGCTGGTGCTCATTTTTAGCTATATATTTCAGGGGAAGCTCTTTGCGTGTTCTTCCAGGCTAATATGTAGGGATATTGGAAAGGTTTGCATTGCAAGATCGTGCCCTGGAGAGGAAATGATGAGGACTTCTGAAGTTAAGCACATGCCTGTGCTTCTTAAAAATCCCCTTCATTTCCCCCGGATGAATTTCTCTCTGTTTCAAGTAGGATATTGCAGAAGTTCCGGAATCAGAGAGGTACAGCATTGAAGAAAACGACATCTTTGCCAGACAAACTTCTGTCATTCAAAATTTGGGAGAAATGATGGCTGTTTAACACCACGTGGCAAACTTATACATCTTCCTTGACACGCACACAAAAAAAACCCTCCACCAAAAAATAACAATAAAAAAACCCCAACAAATGTTTAAGTTGCTTCTCACTTAACAGTTTCTTTCCCACTATTTTAGGTAATTTATTCTTCAGTGCTGTCTGAAAAATAGCTAAAAACTAAAACATTATAGTTTCTTGGCATTAATGTAAACAAATGAGAATGCAGAGACCCTGTGATCTAAATATATTATATATTTAATCATAGAATCACAAGGTTGGAAATGACCTACAAGATCATCTAGTCCAACTGTCTCCTCATCACCATTGCCACAACTAAGAAAAAGTTCATCTTTAATAAGAAATTTGCAAAGCCTGTGTGTTGAGCTGATAAGTTGCTGTGTATTGCTTCAAGTCATGATTCCCGCCTGTGCTTAAAAGTAAGGATTGCTCTCTTGTCAGCAGCCTGATAACAGGTGCCAGTAACGCAGCTGACCACTGCTCTGCCTTGGCCTTGCTGTGTGAGTGGGTACACATCAGTCTAAATCCCACCTGTGACACTGCTCCTATGAAGCTAAGGTATATTGGCTTGTGTGTTACACAGAAGTGATAAGCTCAGCAGTTTGATGTGGCCAACAGTGGGTCAGCAGCTGGGTGGCAGTAGTTTTAAAAGCATTCTTTCAGTTCTTTGTTTTAAACTAAGACAGAAGGTTTAGGGTAGATATTAGGAGCAAGTTCTTTGCACAGAGGATGGTGACACACTGGAACAGGTTGCCCAAAGAGGTTGTGGATGCCCCATCCCTGGGGGCATTCAAGGGCAGGCTGGATGTGGCTCTGGACAGCCTGGTCTACTAGTTGAAACTAGATGATATGGTCCTTTTCAACCCAGGCCATTCTATGATTCTCTGATTCTTTGTTCTTGATTTCTGATTACTTCTAAAGGGCAGTAGCTGCTACTGCTGTACTTCTCAGTGGTGTAAGCAATAAAAGTGATTGTGAGGAACTTCTTTATGCATTGAAATCCTGCTACTGTTCTTAATTTGAAAGACTTAATGTGGTTCCTTTGGCTTCCCTTACCTTCTGTGGTCTATGTGGCTTAATTAGACATATAAGTGGGTAGAGGAGTAAACTTAACCTTTATTACTCAGTGTGATTTGTGTCTCTTGTCATCCTCTTCCTTGCCATCGAGAAATAGGTGCATAAAGCCAACTTCTGCTCTTCTCCCCCTATGTGTACTTGAGACACAGGTCATTAATGCAGTTACAGGTATTGAATGTTGTGATTCAGAGAACTTGCTTTTCCCTTGAAAATTCAGAAGCAGCTGCGGCCTCTGGGACTAAAGTCATAGTCCATCCACAGAATCACAGAATCACAGAATCACCTGGGTTGGAAGGGACCTCAAGGATCATGTAGTTCCAACCCCTCTGCCTAGCAGGGCCACCAAATGTACACATTCAGATCAGGTTGCCCAGGACCCCGTCCAACCTGGCCTTGAACACGACCAAGGACGGGGCATCCACAACCTCCCTGGGCAGCCTGTTCCAGGGCCTAACTACTCTCCTTGTGAAGAACTTACCCCTAACATCCAACCTAAATCTTTCCTCCTTCAACTTGGATCCATTTCCCCTAGTCCTGCTGTTGTCAGCCCTTCTGAAGAGTTTACTCCCCTCCTGGGTGTAGGTTCCCTTCAGGTATTGATAGGCTGCAATGAGGTCACCCCGCAGCCTTCTCTTCTCCAGGCTGAACAAGCCCAATTCCCTCAGCCTGTCCTCATAGGGGAGGTGCTCCAGCCCCCTGATCATCTTAGTCGCCCTCCTCTGGACCCTTTCCAAGATCTCTATGTCTTTCTTGTACTGAGGGCTCCACACCTGGACACAGTACTCCAGGTGGGGCCTCACAAGAGCCGAGTAGAGAGGGACAATCACCTCCCTCTCCCTGCTGACCACCCCTCTCCTGATGGAGCCCAGGATCCCATTTGCCTTTCGAGCTGCCAGAGCGCACTGCTGGCTCATGTTCAGTCTCTCGTCCATCAGGACTCCGAGGTCCTTCTCTGCCGAGCTGCTCTCAAGGACCACTCCTCCCAGCCTGTACGGGTGCCTGGGGTTCTTCCGGCCCAAATGCAAAACCTTGCACTTTGCCGTGTTGAACCTCATTAGGTTCACCCGAGCCCAGCCCATCCAGTTTCTCTTTACATGATGCTGAGCCTGTTGTCAGAACACATTGTGTAATGTTTCTACAGTATGGGAGTCAAGTGCAAGCTGAGGTGCTTTGTAGAGAAGAGAGGGCTCCCGGGGTGCAGGAGATGCAGGTCTTCCTGGTGACCCTGATGGAGCTGAAGAGCACAGGAAGAGTGAATTCCAGGTTAGGGGTCAGAAACATCTGTATTTCTAGCACAGAGAAGTTCTGTCTTCTCTGTCTTAACTAATAAAAGTTTTGCAAGAATGCAACTTTTGCTACTTTTTTTCAGTTGGAGCTTTTAATAGCCAGTGTTGAGAAGTGATGCTGGTGTTTGGAGACTTCCAGAAGTCTGTTTTCTTTAGATTTCTTCCCCCTTATAGCCTTAAACTTGATTTTTTCCTGAAGTTATACTGTGCGGTGGGAGAAGAGGTCCCCTCTTGTCTTATTTTGCAAGGTTGTGCTGAAATAAATGCATGTAGTAGGCTGAGAAATGCTTTCATCTTTGAATTACAAAATGCAAATTCTAGACCATCTGTATAGATGTCCTTCCTCCGCTCCCCCCCATCTGCTTAACAGCCTACATCAGATGTAGAATATTTCTTCGAGTTATCATGCTGTACTCCAGTTTGACAAAGCATTTCTTGCACCATGGAAGAGAGTTGAGAGCTTATTCTGCAGTTCTTATCCTTAAAAAGAAAGAAACAACACATTTTCTGTATTATCTATGCTTTGTATGCATCCTGGAAAATGATTAGGCGTGGGAAAACTGCAGAAAGCCTGCTTGCTGGATGTAGGCCAACTAGTGGGTGGGAGGCAGCAGCACTTTGGAATTTCATAGATGGAAATCTCCGAAGAATTGTAATGTGAATGTGGCTTTATGGCGTTTGCAGTGGTATAGGCAGTAGTAAGCAATGTGAGCATGGTGTGCCCAGAGAGTTCTTGCTTTTTTTTTTTTTTTTTTTTTTTTTTTTGTGACTACAATATATTAAATACAAATATTTCAGTGTTTCTCTGCTAGAAGTTGTAGGCTGTTGCTTCCTTAAAGCAAGTGTATGTAAATTTAATTACACCAAGACGTCACCAAATTTGTATGTGTGCATGATTTTGAAGCAATGGAATGGAATCTTAATATTGGCAAAAAAGAGGGAAGACCTTGGAAAATTTTACTGCTCTTTTTATCTTACTGCTTTCAGTTTAAGTAAGGGAAAGTTTGGCATTGCTCTGTACATGAAATGTTTGAGCACTACAGCATCGTATTTTCAGTTGATAATCCTTTTAGGAAGATTTCATTAATTCATAACTTATCTCTGAAATTTTGTGGAAGTATATGTTAATATTTTGCCTTAGAGATGGTTAGAATTTTTTTTTCCCCCTTTTTAAGTTCTTCCCCCAAGAAGCCTCTAAACTCCGAAATGTGATCAGGATCTACTTCACCATCCTGTACTGTTATTGTTATTTGAATGTTCAGAGACATTTGGTCTGATGCTTAGAGAGTTACTTCTCACAGCAAAGACAAAGTAGGAACTACAATGCACATGTTTATAGCTTGTGGGATTTGTTCTTTTGCCTTTATTTCCAGTTGTGGAGTCAAGTGAATGCTATAACATGTCTTAATTTGGCACTTCAACACTTCATTACTAAAATTTAGAGGGTGTTTTTGAAAGCTAATTGTTTTAGAAAACAGGAGTGTTCAACAAGCTAAAACTTGGGCAATGGGAGAAATAAATATCCCTTCCACACCTCCTTGAACTTTGAAATGAAAAGTCTGAGGGCTCTAAATGCCGCATATGATTTTAGCTTTTTCAAAGCGCCTGCGTTTACAATGTAATTGTATCCCTCTGATTTGATCTATATGACTTCTGTCTTTGAATTTTAGAATTCAACCAATAGCTTTTATTTTTTAGTACCTGACCAGGTTTATTGATGTTTCCAAAACATTTTGAGAAGATACACTATAGGCTATTTGTTAACCTTCTGTTCTATGTTGGAAGCTGTTCTTTAAGGCATCTAGCTTTTGGTCTTAAGCAAGTAATGTGTGTAACATTGTGCTGTAGGTTTACCTGTAGTGTTGACTCTCTTCTTTTGTTCAATCTTTTTTTCTATGGGAAGCAGATCAAAATAAATATCTATTTACTTGTGCATATCTAATTGCTAATTGTATGAAAGAGAGACTGTAATTAGAGACAGTGTTGAAAGGAAGAGCCCAAGAATCACCCATGAAGCCTGATTAGTTGTTGGTCAGTCTGTCTGGATGTGTTATAATGGTTGTAGGCAACATTGGTCCAGATAGCTGAAGGATACTAGCACATAAAGTGCTGGGCTATTTAAGTTCTGCTCCTTGCAGCGTTTGTTTGTCCAGATGCTGATTCTTATTTATGTTTCTGCCTTGTTGCCTTCAGTTTTTTGAATGTTTTTAAAGACGCTGACTCATGAACTAGATTACCTTGTAATATGGTATTCAGCTTAGTTTGATTAATATTTTATGTGCGTTCTTTTACTTGTTAGTTACCTTTTAAGCCACTGGAGGATGTTGTAAATGCTTCTCCAGCCTCTTGCCACGGCATCTCTGCTGAAGGTTACAGTGGACAGGGAGAAAGTCTGAGGTTTTCACCTGGCTTAATGTTATGCAGCCTGCTAAATATGCTGTAAACAAAGTTGTTTACAGCTTTAAGGGAGCACGTATGATGAAAGTATTTCCTTGCTGCAAAAAGACTTAAGAGCTCTTAAATATGATTATTAACAACTGCAAGAAAAAACGGTAATTCTCACATTTAATGTATGCTGTTAGCAACCAGCAAGGCATTGATAAGATCATGTTCATCACCGTTCAGGTTTAGCACTGTTTGTAGGCTAGAAAGGCATGTGAGGTTTACACAGGCAGGCTGCTTGGGAATGTTCTCCTTCTCCTTACTGCCTTTCTCCTGAAACTGGTGGCATGTTCAGACATCTGAAGTGTACAGTCAGGCCACTTATAGGCAGATGACTGTCAGTGAGTCACACTAATCCATTTCACTTTCTTGTGATACAATAAAGGGTAATTGCAAGGGTGAGGAAGCGACCTCATTTGTGAGAGAGGCATATCTCTTTAGTCTTGGGAATGGGAAGATCACGTTTGCTGTGTTAAGAGTAACTTAGAGAATATGCCATTTCCTCAGCATATTTTTCATGTTGCTATTATCTCCAGGAATTTACTGCATTTTCAGTATTTGCTATTTTCATTATAGAAGTCAGGGATGCTGCTTTTGCTCCAGAATACTTGCATTCTTACTGTAGTGCATGTAACGTTTAATGCAGATCTGTCTTTCTGGACCACGAGCTTCCTGCTTGTTTTCACTGTTTTCATTGCTTTGTGGAATTAGATATTATTGATGCTTTCAAATTAAGCTTGAAACAACACCTGCCACTAAACACCTAACCTTAATCTGAACTTGTGTGGGGTGGGAAAAGTCATGGGAGTGTGGTTTCTGAGGAAATAAGGAAGTTACCTTTCCTAGATAAGATATAGTCTCTTCTACCCCATCAGCCCTGTGTGGTACAGAGCCCCAGAAGTCTCGATTCTGTTGAATCCATGTTCTGCAGTCACGTTTTCTGGTATATAAATTCAGATGATCTTTTATTCTATATTCAGATGAACTTTTCTGCTGTTTTGGGAGATCAGAATACAAGAGCATAGGTCAAAATCTATGGAGATAAGAAATGGGGGATTCTGAACAAACATTAGTGGAGAAAATAATCTAGTGCATTAATACAATTTACTTAGATTTGCAGAATTTCACGGAATATTTTGTAAGTCTTTGTAAAACATTTGTGAGAAAAAATGGTGTGAACTAATTTGACAGAGAACCATGTTTCTAGTGACCTTTTAAATCTTTTGTTAATCAGGTTTATCTTGAAAGCACTGAAGACTGTTTTACTCTAAACATAATAATTGCAGATGATATGAGTATGTCTGTTTTCCCAGTGCTGTAATTGCAAATCCTTAGTCTCCTAAAGGCACCTGTTTTGCTGTCATCAATTTCTATTTGAGTGGAAAATGTTATCCAAATTATTAAATATCTCTTGGATTGAATCCTGAGCTGCAGTATACTATGATCTGGAGAAGAAAGTGCAGCAGAAGAATAAATAGTCTTCTCCATCATAGAACTTGGATTTTACAAAGGGGTAGCTTCATACAGTTAATTCAAGCTTGTATATTTTCTGAATAATTTCACATTCTAGACATTGAAATCCATGGCTGTTTAATGTCTTAATGAAATCTTTGAGGAAGCTACATTCCTGTCAACAGGGAAGTTGAAACAAAGGAGAGATTTTGCGGTTTATGAATTAAACAATTTTTTAAACTATATCCCTGTATCTAATACATTGCTCTATTTTAAATCAGTTATTAATCTGAGCTGTTACATATTGACATTAAACAGTTTAAACCAGCTAAGTTGCATCTACTAATTATACTAAATGAATCAGATCAGTAAGATGAGAATTTTGCCTAGTATAAACATCTTGTTTGTATGGAGGACTAGTAATTAACACTGTCGGATTGGAACTTAAGAGTTATTGCAATGCAGGAATATTCTTAATAGTGATTTGTTTGTTTGCTTTGAGTTTTCTATCTTCATCCTGAGACTGATACCTGTGGAAGCCTGCCAAGCTTTGTGTTGATCTCTGATACTAGGGCTGCTTTGAAAGTAATGCCTCCTATTTTGGCCAGTGGCATGCTGAGAGTGTTTTATAGTTCAGAATGAGCTCCATCAAATCTTGTTGTTATGCTCTTTGTATCTTTTATAGTTATATAAAGTATATAACTATACTTATAGTTTTATAGTTTTTATAGGAGGCATTATGTTCAGAATCATCTAGTATGTAAACTGCTCTATGATAATCAATTGGTAACCAGTTGTTGCCATTGTCACTTCAGTACTCGTGTGTGGAACTTTCAAACACAGCTAATGAGGTGATTGATAATTGTATTGGGAGTTTTTACGAAGAACTTCCACTGTAAATTATAAATTTGTTGCAGCTTTTTGGCCCTCAAGATCTTAAACGGAATGGGAATAATTCCAAGTGTCATGGTTTTGTGTTTTTTGGTTTTCGGTATTCCACATCATAACATCATGTGGGGCACTGGGACTTTAACTGAGTACCTGCCCAGAAGAGAAGAACTACATTCCCCAGGGGACTTGGCGGTCAGGGAGAGGAGGTTCAACTCCTGGCAAGGGCACCTGATGTGCTCTTTCTCGCCTACCCTTCCTCGTGGGCGCTGCTCGTTCTTCCTGCTGATCACCTGGACTGCGCATCTCACCTCAGCGTTGTGGTGAGGCCTATCCACCTTTTGGACATTCTCTCTCTCATTATATTTGATTTATTAGCTTCAATTCTGATTATATTGTATTATAGTGTGTTATCTTGCATTCCGATAATATATTTAGTAAATGAGTTTGTTTCTCCTCAGATCGGTGCCACTGTTTTTAATTATTTTGGGGTTCCCTGTTTCCCTTTTTCCGGAGGCGCGGATCTGTGGATCCCTCTGCCCTGCTCGTCACGAAACCGGGCCGAACCAGACCGTAAACCTTGACATTCTTGGTGGAGAATGCGGGCAAAGCTGCTTTTTAGATTTCTAGAACGAATCTCTCTCTGCTCTCGGAGAGCTTCGTTGGGAAAGTTTATCTTTTTCACCGGTGCTCACTGAAAACTTGACCTTGAAAGTCTAGGCATTCTGCCAGTGTTCTGGGATATTTGCAGACTTTGAGCACTGCTATCTTGCTTCTGTAAAGAGAGAAAAAACATAATGATTCTGCTTTCTCTTTTAAACCTGTTTGCAGAGGGAGCTGCTAATTTCATAGAACTTAGGATTTTTAAGCAGGCTCCCAGTCTCTCCTTTGAATCCTTTACACAGTTTTTGAATGCTCACCTGATCGCATTGTTAATCTCCCTGAATTTACTGTTCATCATTTCAGTCAGTTTTTGTATTTATTGTATTTTGAGGAAGCCTTCCCCAAAACCAGAGAATACTGAATGGCAGGGAGTGTGGAGAGGCTTGGGAGAGATTTTAGAGAGATGGACATCTTCGGTGTCATGGAACTTTACTCCTGAACACCTGAAAGACCCTGAGAGCTTAAGCATTTATTTGAGACAGGAATGTTGCGGCTCAGGCAGATCTGAGGAGGCACAAATGGTTTGGGGCCTGGCTAATGCTTATCGAGCCTTATTCAACAGTATCCTAAAGAGGGAGAGAGTTTGTGAAATTGAGAGTGTCTGAGAGCTGAAAGGGAGAATCTCCGAGCTGAGCGAGAGAGTCTCCAGGTTGAGAGAAAAGACCTCCAATCTGAGAGGGATATCCTCAGGTCTGAGAGAGATGCCCTCCAAATCGAGAGAGACTCCCTGCAATCCCAAAGAGAGAGTCTCCAGGCTGAAAAGGAGAGTTTCCAGGAGAGACTCCGAGCCAAGAGGGAGAATCTCCAGGTCCAGAGAGAGAGTCTTCTAGTTGAGAAACAGAGTCTCCAAATCCAAAGAAAGAGTCTCCAAGGCGAGACAGAGAATCTCTGGGTTGAGAAAGAGAGTCTCCTAGCCAGGAGAGAGAATCTCAAAACCTGGCAAGAGTGTCTCTGAGCTGAGGAAGAAAATCTCCAAGCCAAAGGGGAGAATCTCCGAGCTGAGAGAAGGAATCTCCAATCTCGACAAGATGCCTTCGAATCTGAGCGAGACTCCCTCTAATCCAAACTCGACACCATCTAATCTGAACTAAATAGTCGAACAAGACAGGCTCCAAGCAGAACTAGAGGGTGATTGTGTTGGAACTGACCAACCCGATCAACCACAGGAGGCACCACAATTGATGTCAGTCGCCCCCGTCAGAGGACGGAAAACGAAACAAATCTTGACTCAGTTAGAACAGAAGAAAGAGGAGGAAAGAGGTCCAGAGGAGTGGCTCCAAGGTCTAGGAGAAGCACCCCTGAGTCCAGGGGAGGGGCCCTCAGTAAGACCATGGTTACCAACGCCTACGAGGGCAACAGGAAGTCCTGACAGAGGAAGAGGTGAGCAAGATATTGTTACCCTTGTTGATCGATCTCTGAAAATGAATGAAATTCAAAGTCTGAGAAAAGACTTCTCACGTCACCCAGATGAGCCTATTGCCACTTGGTTACTTTGATGTTGGGCCAACAGGGCCAACAATGTGTGGCTAGATAGTAGAGAAGCTCGCCAGCTGGGTGGCATTGCTAGGGACTCAGCCATTGACAGAGGTGTTGGGATGTGCTAGAAGCAGGCCTTCACCCTCTGGAAGCAGATGTTGTTAGCCGTAAAAGAAAGATACCCCTTCAAAGATGATCTGATGCCTGAGAAAAAGAAATGGACTGATATAGAAAAAGGCATCAGTTATTTGAGAGAATATGCTGTGGTGGAAATGCTACATAGCCCTGATTTCATTCCTGATGATCCAGACCAAGAGCATGATCCTGAGAGAGTCAGGTGTACACCGAACATGTGGTGTACATTCACAAAGACTGCACCAGAAAGGTACGCCAGTACATTTGCAGCAATGTATGGCAGAGGGGAAAGAAGACCCCTTATAAATGAACTCATAAATAAACTTCAAGACTTTGAGTTACATTTAAGCCCTCTACGAGTTTGTGTTTCAGCCATTGCAAAGGTAGCTGGAAAGCTGAACAGAATGGAGAGCAAACAAGAAGATATCATAGACAAACTGTCTACTTGCCTAATGCTAATAGATCCATGGTGGTAACAGATACATCCAGTGGAGATCAGAATTCCCAAGGCAGCCTACTGGAGGGACTGATCAACTTGGTTTCCTTCCAGCCGGTGTCATCCAACGTCTCAGCTATCAAAAGGAGACGTCCTCCTGCTCGAGCAACTGACAACAGTAAGACCGAGTCACGTTTTGCCTTGTGGCATTACCTACGTGACCATGGAGAAGATATGAAGAAGTGGCATAAGCAACCTACTCCTGCACTTCAAGCACGGGTAAAAGAATTACAAGACAAATCAACCACCAAGGTGAACTTCTCCAAAAAGGTGATTGCTCCAGTTGCTGCAGACAATGGAGGTAACAAACAGAGGGGCCCTGCCCCCAGCCGGGGGGGGGAAAGGGATAATAGAGTATATTGGACTGTGTGGATTAGATGGCTTGGCACATCAGAACCACAGAAATATAAGGCCATGGTGGACACTGGTGCTCAGTGCACCCTAATGCCCTTGAGTCACCAAGGGACAAAATCAGTTTATATTCATGGGGTGACTGGGGGTTCCCAAGAGCTGACTGTTGGAGGCCGAAATCAGCCTCACTGGTAAAGACTGGAAAAAGCATCCTATCGTGACTGGTCCAGGGGCCCCATGTACACTTGGTATTGATTACCTCAGAAGGGGATATTTTAAGGATCCCAAAGGGTATCGATGGGCCTTTGCAATAGCTGCTGTAGACACAGAAGGTATTAAGCAGCTGTCTGTTCTGCGTGGCCTATCAGAAGATCCGTCTGCTGTGGGGTTGCTACGAGTGAAAGAGCAACAGGTACCGATAGCTACAAAAATGGTGCACAGGCAGCAGTACCGCACCAACAGGGATTCCTTGCTTCCCATTCATAAGTTGATTCGTCAACTAGAGAGTCAGGGAGTGATCAGCAAAACTCACTCACCTTTTAACAGCCCCATATGGCCAGTGCGTAAAGCCAGTGGAGAATGCAGGCTGACTGTGGACTACTGTGGCCTGAATGAAGTCACACCCCCACTGAGTGCTGCTGTGCCAGATATGTTACAACTCCAATATGAACTGGAGTCAAAAGCAGCCAAATGGTATGCCACTATTGACATTGCTAATGCCTTTTTCTCCATTCCTTTGGCCAAAGAATCTAGGCCACAGTTTGCTTTCACATGGAGGGGCGTTTCAGTATACCTAGAACCGTTTGCCCCAGGAGTGGAAACACAGCCCAACCATTTGCCATAGGCTGATCCAAGCTGCACTGAAACAGGGAGGTGCTCCTGAACACTTACAGTACATTGATGACATCATTGTGTGGGGCAACACAGCAAAGGAAGTTTTTGAGAAAGGAGAGCAAATAATCCAGATCCTTCTGTGTGCTGGTTTCGCTATTAAGCAAAGCAAAGTGAAAGGACCTGCCCAGGGACCTGGGTCCAGCTGATGAGTGATGCAGAGAAACGAGGATGTTCAGTGTGTACCACAAGGGAATTTGATGTTTGGGGGAGTGCAGTCAGTAATTCCATACATATATATAAGTTTGTGTGTGCATGTTTTTTTAATGTTTGGCAATTATTGTTTGTTTATATATATATTAAGCATGATGTACTGATGTAGAATAAGGAGTGGAATGTCATGGTTTTGTGATTTTTGGTTTTCGGTATTCCACATCATAACATCATGTGGGGCACTGGGACTTTAACTGAGTACCTGCCCAGAAGAGAAGAAGAACTACATTCCCCAGGGGACTTGGTGGTCAGGGAGGGGAGGTTCAACTCCTGGCAAGGTCACCTGATGTGCTCTTTCTCGCCTACCTTTCGTCGTGGGCGCTGCTCGTTCTCCCTGCTGATCACCTGGACTGCGCATCTCACCTCAGCGTTGTGGTGAGGCCTATCCACCTTTTGGACATTCTCTCTCTCATTATATTTGATTTATTAGCTTCAATTCTGATTATATTGTATTATAGTGTGTTATCTTGCATTCCGATAATATATTTAGTAAATGAGTTTGTTTCTCCTCAGATCGGTGCCACTGTTTTTAATTATTTTGGGGTTCCCTGTTTCCCTTTTTCCGGAGGCGTGGATCTGTGGATCCCTCTGCCCTGCTTGTCACGGAACTGGGCCGAACCAGACCGTAAACAGTTGACACCAAGAATTCATGGAAAAAAAAAAAAAGAGTCTTTGACAACAAACCAAAGCTAACCAAACTGGTGGAATGGAACCTGAAATCACTCTAGCTTTTACACAGCCTTGTGTTGGCACTGCAGCAGTTGATGGCTGCTTGCTGGCTAGAGCAGGTTTTGGGAACAGTTTACTGATGCACAAAGTAAAATCTAATGGTGATTTTTATTCCTGTGTGTGTTTCTGAACAAACAGAAATTGAAATTCACTATCGCTTCTGCATGTGAACCCCAGGCGCCTGGTTTACTGTGTTTTTTAATGTATCTGTAATTTCATATGTTTACTTTTTTTATAAATGACTTGATCACTAATTTTATTCAGATGGATGCGCTATTGTAGTTATACTTAGCAGTTTGCTTGACAGCCCTTTTCCCCTCCTTAAATGTGATTTACCCAGAATAGCATCTGGCCGTCACACTACAGTGGAACTAGATCATCCAGTCTACTGCTATTACAAAGAAAAATGAGGCTTGACACATTTGTGTCAATTTGGCTAGATCCCTGACTGATTATGCTCAATGAAATATGTGACGTTTCAAGTGGTCGTGTAATGTGCAGGAGCACTTGCAGGAGGAACATCGGGTGCTGCAAAGGAAATGCCACCTTTACTGGTTCTGAATGGCTCAAGTACTGCCATGAGTTACCTGATCAATTCTCGGTTCTTGTCCATTAAGGTATAAAGCAGTGCAAATTAAAAAAAAAAAAAAAAAAAAAAAAAAAAAATATATATATATATATAATATTTTATTTTTGTATTTTTTTAAATTGCTGAGGGTGATCCTGCAGAAATCTAAAATGCAGTTGAATTTAAAAGGAAGAAAGTCATTTCCTTGTTTTTGTTTTTGTTTTTTTTCCTATAACAGTTTTATTCAGCAAGTAAACTAGCAACCACCTCCAGTTCTAAAGTGAAGTGTGTAACTTTTGAGTAAGTCATAATTACTATGCCTTGGTTCCAGGAGGTCCTGGTTTGTTTTGAATCTTGCTGGCTTCATAGCATGAATTTTTTAGAAAAAAGCGAACTATGTAATGTTGTCTAATATTCTACTAAATGGAAAATGCAGAAACATAAAAGATTTTAAATACTCCCTAAATCTGATACATTGTTCTGTTTTTTTTTTTTTCCATCCGCCCTATTTCCACTCCTAAGGATAAATTCTGGATCTTGTAAAAACCCTAAGTCAGGCTCTTCCACTGTACCATGAGACATTGATTTAAGATGTGTCAGACACAGCCTCACCTTTCCAGCTTTCAGGTGGATTCAGTCACGGTTAACATAGAATGTCTTCTGAGATTTCAAAAACTTTATAATGGCCTCATGTTTTGCCAAGGGAGATTCAGTTTGGGTGTACTGCTTTTTCCAGAAGAGTGGTCAGGCACTGGAATGTGCTGCCCCAGGCAATGGTGAATTCACCAGCCCTGGAGGTTTTGAAGGAATGTTTAGATGTTGTGTTGAGGGAAACTGTTTAGTGAGAACCGGTGGTGATATGTGGGCAGTTGGACTGGATGATCTTGTAAGTCTTTTCTAACCTTGGTCATTCTGTGATAAATAAATGGCTAGAGCACCTGTCCTGTGATGACGGGCTGAAGGAGCTGGGATTGTTCAGCCTGGAGGAGAGAACAGTGAGGTCTCCCTGGAGTCACCTTCCAGCAGTTTGTGGGGGTAGACAGTGACAGGACAAGGGGGAATGGCTTTAAAATGAAAGAGGAGTAATTCAGCTCAGTGGAAAACTTTTGTTGGAATCTGATAAGGTGGTGAGGCTGAAACAAGCTGCCCAGAGAAGCTGTGGATGCTCTATCCCTGGTGATACTCAAGGCCAGGTTGGATGGGGCCCTGAACAGCCTGGTCTGGTGGGTGACAACCCTGGGCATGGCAGGGAGGTTGGAACTAGGTGGCTTTTAAAGTCCCTTCAAACACAAGCCGTTCTATGATTCTACGTCAGTCTGTTCAAAGAAACTTGTGGCAGGTAGTTTCTGTTCTTATGTTTTATTTTCAGTATCTGTTCTACCTTTCTTTTTTGTAAGTTGATCACTTATTTTTAGCCATCTGAACCTAGTGTTTTCAGTTTAGTGTTTCAGCAGTTGAAACAAAACAGGGCTATCCATGTGGCAAGTGTTACCCAATGGTTGAGTGGTTTGAAACATATGAAATAGCACCCACATCTCTTCTACCATGTGGAGCTGGGAAGGAAGATAGAAGAAGCTGGAAGAACGCCAGCCATGTTTGTCCCTTTCTTCCATGCAGTTTTTTAGATCAAGTGTCCTTTACCCATAGCCTGTAACAACCTTTTTCTTAAAGGCTAGATGTGGTGTCACCAGAGAAGTCTGGTGATAAGTGTCTAGTACTGACTCATTTTCTTCTAAAACATGAAGAAGGACTGAAGTTTAACCTTTGAGAAGCGTAAGTGAATAAAAGCCTCCATAAAAGTTAAGAAATTCTTAAGGAGGAAAGCTAAATGCGCTGTCAAAGCCTCTTTCTCAAATATTATGCTCTGTTGTTTCCTCCTCCTTTCCGGAATCCCAAACAATAGTAACTAGAAGTGATAGAATATTACAGACTCCACAAGATGGAATTAAGCTTCCATTTCTTAGTCTGGGAGCTTGATGTTCTGACATCTTTACTGGGAAATTGCTTCTAACTGATATTATTTCCATACATAATTGTGGCTGCGAGTGTATGACTTCTGTGAAAGCACTAGTCTTCAGAAATAGAGCCTTTATCTCTACAGCTGCTATGGATATGGTTTCAGCATCTTCTTGCATGCAGTTTCTTCATCCGGGAGATGCACAGCAGTTACTTCATGGCTAAGGCAGTCTGCCTAGCTATTTGGGCTGTTGAGGATTGGTGTGCTTACCAACTTGATGAGTCTCTGCCCGTGGAAAGGTGTAAGGTAGGAAAGCATTTGTTGCCTTTACTTCTTTGAGTGGGTTAATTCTTGATTTAGCTGAGCTGATGTATTCCAACTTTTTTTTTTTTTTTTTTTTTCCTGAGGATTTTATGTCTGTTTGTGTCAGTATTTTTCTCCAGAGTCAAGTTACTGTCTCAGCAATTTTGTTTGTTGTTTTTTTTTCTTCTTATATTTGGTGGCCTTTAGCTGTGAGAGTATCTTCTCATACCTTAACAATTGGATTTTGGTAGAATTGAGCCCAAGCTCACACTGTACCTTGGGTTATAGAGGAGTGAATCTCTTGGTTTAGTGATTTTTAGGACTGTATGCTTGTTTATTCTGTGCTGGTATGTTTCAAATTATTGGGTCTGAATTTGTCAAAATAAGCGTGATCTTGTTGCCTATAGCCAGTGAAGGGAGGAGTTATGGGTTGTTTTTGGTTTTGGAGTTTCCATTAGTCAAACAATGCCATCCTGAGTAATCTTCTTAATTATCTACTGCTATATTATGGATAGTATATCTGTTAAGGAAATGAAGGAGGTAAGAAAGTTGCCATAATCATTTGAGCTAATGAAACAGATTTTAATTTGATCTTTGATTCCAGCTATTTAACCTGCATTTTGTTGAGAATTTAGGAAATTGTATTTTGAAGAGGGTGAGGTGGAGGAAGAAATCTGACTTTTTATACTGGATCTGTATGTGACTGTAATAAGTAGAAAAAACAGAAGATAGCCACTGTATGAACAGTATGTAGTATACACAATCTGAAAAATCTGAGATGATTGTACTGATGAAGATTATTCAATGATCAAATTACCCAATTGGAATGACTTTTTATGCAATTGGGAAGTTGTTTTTCTCAGTGTGAAGCTTACTGCTTGCATTCTCTGCAATTATCCCATGTGGAAGGAAGCTCTGTTGCATAAATTATGGTGTGTCTTCATCCTTGGGGGTGTTCAGAAGCTGTCTGTATCTGAGCTGGCAACCTGCTGTGGATGGCCTTGGTTGAGCAAAGGTTAGACCAGATGACCTCTGCAGGGGTCTATGCCAACCTCAGGCATGTTGTTCTGTGATGAAGACTCTATTTGTGGTCTCTCTTGATTTGAAGGGGAGAAAAAGCTTCCCGTATTCATAAATGCACTAACTTTTGTGAGCACTGAGTTGTTACATATGATTTTATTTTTTCTAATGGGGAGTTGCTGATCCATTGTTGCTTTTCTGGCCTTTTGTAATAGAAAAAAAATCCCACCCAACTGTGTTTCTTGAATCACAACTATGTAGTTAATTAGCAGGGTGGATTTTTTTTAATGTAAAAACTTATTAAAAGCAACTGTAAAGCTAAGTAATTTGCCACACACCCTTGTCTTTCATCCTCTGGTTTATTGACAAGATTTAAAAACTTTTTGAATAGTAAGGTGTGGTTTTGTTCTATGGATCACTGCAAATTTGACAGTGTTGATTCTGTTTCATTGCTCTCTTTTATTATGGGTTTGACTGATTTGCCAAGTAGAAAGGTATAAAGATTTGCTATTCTACTAACCACTCCTAGAGGTGTGGGAGAACTTTCTATAGAGTGTTTACATTTTAATCAATCGGGTATAAGAAGTACATGCACACTGCAGTCTGTCTTCCTATGTAGAATCATTAGGATTGGAAGAGACCACTAAGATCATCTAGTCCAACCACCACCACCATGCCCACTGAAGCATGTCCTGCAGTGCCATATCTACCCACTTCTTGAAAACCGCCAGGGACAGTGACTCCACTACTTCCCTGGGCATCCTGTGCCAATGCACCACCTCTCACTTTCTGTAGGATATCTGAAGCGCTGTTGCTTCTGGGATGTACAGAGCAACTTTGAGTGAGTAAAACAGTGTTACGGAAATATGGCAGCTCAGGTTGGCAGAACATCTGTGTGAGGGTAGCTGCTTCTATAGCACTTTGCAGAACCTGCCAGAGGGATAGTGGTAGTGGTGAGAAGGAGCAGTTAATTTCATTATTTGTAAGCTGGTGGTGTGACCTGCACACAGCAGAATAAAAGGAGATGGGGTGGCTGTGAAATAGTGACTTTTGCTTTCTTTCCTTTTTTCCCAGGGTAGGAAAAGATGAACGTTCTCTGAGGCGTAGGAGAAGGTGGGCGTTAATTGAGGGAAGGTATCAGAGGCTTATGGGAGCGACAGTGGAGAAAGGAATCATTTGAAGCCAGTCCCTGCTTAGTAGGGCATAAATAAATCTTAGGGTAGTAGGGAGTTGGGTTATGGAATGGAGGAGGTAATGTCCTTGGGATAAACTCAAGGAGTGGAAACTAAATGTGATGATTGGGGAGGGAATGATGAGTTAATGGCTGTGTAAGCTTGTCTGCTCTGTATTACTTGAGATCCTTGAATATGCAATTCTGTAACGCTTGAAGCTCATATTGTGTTCTCCTGTGTGGTCAGCCTTTTAATCAGGCCTTGCTCTGAGAGCAATGTTTGGGCATTTGGCCAGCTAGAAGACCTGGTTTGGTGTGATCAGTGATTGGCTGAAGGAACTGGATTTGTATAGACTGGAAAAGGGAACGCTGTGGAGAGACCTCATTATGGCTTTCCAGTATTTAAGGAGTTTATAAACATGAGGGAAATCAACTTTTTTATATGGGTAGATAGTGATAGGACAAGGAGGAATGGTTTTAAACTAAAGGAAGGAAGATTTAGATTAGGTGTCAGGGGGAAGTTCATCACAGAGGGAGTGGTGAGGTGCTGGAACAGGTTGCACAGAGAGGCAGTGGATGCTCCACCCCAAAGGTGTTTAAGGCCAGGTTGGGTGGGGTCCTGGGGAATCTGGTCTAGTACTTGATCTAGCAGTTGGCAGCCCTGCC